TTTCTTTAACAGGGCCAGTCCGCGACTACACAATCCGACATGCCGAAGTCCTCAATGAGGTACATGACTCTGAGCTCCTTCATAACTTGTTCCCTTCAAACCAGTTATCTGCTAACTCATTTGAAACGCTAGCGGCCTCTCGAATGGAGAATAACAACAACATCATCCAGCTGGATGATATGTCCGAGTCCTTGTTTCTGAGATCCGGAGGGGAGAATGAGACAAGAAAAGAAGACATAGCACTTGAGCAGACATGCATGCTAGATATAGTTCCGAGCAAGGCAGTTTATGAGGAAGCAGAGCCGCAGGAAAAAAAGGCCTCAGAGCTGGACCCGGGTGATTATAATACCTACTCTGAATAAGTATTTTTCAATCTCCTATAGCTCATCAATCAATTAATTTTCTTATGTATATTTTACTTTTTCATTAATTTTTATACAGAGCTTGCGATTATTATTTTCATAAAAATAACTTTGTCATTTGCACTTATCGATTTTTATGTATCTTTCTCATGTAACTCTTTCTTTGTTTTACTTCTTTGCATTAAATCCTGTCTTTTTTCCCAAGTAGTTTCTTCTCGCGAATTAAATCACTTTATCAGTGAAGCTATAAGATTGACATCGCTTTACTCTACTCTTCATTCTTCAATCGGAAGTCACAGCTACAAGTCTTTAAGTCCAAGCGCCGCGACTTGTGTCTACGATGAAAGCCACCTCACTATTGACCAGTTCGCCCAACTTTGTATCCGATTCCTTGGGGATAAACTACCTTCAATGGTGTTTGAACAGTTTATCGAGTTCATTAAGAGTAACTATTCTGAAACGGAGGATGAGCGAAAAGTGAAAATGGCGGAAGTGAGTCAGTACGCGTAGATAAATTTTTGTCTTCCTTAAAAATTAGAAAATATATTAACCTAGCACGTTTATTTTTAATGATTTTGATATTTTGTCTTCTCAATTTACTATTCTTTTTTTACAAATGTTTCGCTCTTATACCTGATTGCTTATCAAATTATTTTATACTATCTACACATGCGGAATATTAGTGGTAAATGCTTATATGTACCAGGTCTTTAAATCTATGTTCTACTATCATTGCGAGAAATGATACGAATCTGGCCAATTAATGACTGAGCAAGATTATTTTATAATGGATTTATTAAAAGGAAGCAATAAACTTTGCGGACGTATTTTAATGCCTTTCTTCGGGTATTTATGTTTCCTTGAAACCTAAAGCCTATTCATATAACTAGAAAAATTCAACTATCACTGCTTCATCAGGTTATGTGACCTGGGGTGGGTAGTACTCTTATTCACAACTAAACATAAATTTATACATAATATGGTTTATTCGAACGCATCCTTGTAATTTCCTCAACTATACTTTTCCAGTATGCAACTACCTTTTTTATGCTAGAATACACAGTCATTATTTAAATTTAAATGCACTCTTTCATACATCCCAAAAGGCCGTTGTCACCCAGGCTGGAGTGTAGATTTGATCTCATTCCGATCTCGAAGGCAGCTATGAATCACTTTGGCGACATTTGGTTTGTAATTTTACATAACATTTCTCAATGACTAAGTTAACTAAAGTGCAAATGACGCGGGTGAGGAAGTACCAGATTAGAGATAAAATGCTTTGAAGATAAGATGAGAATCATGAAAGAGGTCATAGCATGAAGTATGATCCCGAAAGTTTTCTAGTAGATACGACCAATTCGTAAAAGCAAAGACAGGAGAATCACATTATTTGAAGTTAAGAAGACCAAGATGATGTGGCCCTCGGGATGTTTGCAGTCTCCTTTCGATGTATAGAAGGGGACTGACCTTTTTTTCGCAAAGAAGACAATTCTTGGTGCTGAGAACAGCAAGCCGACTACGATGCTGGGGAAACGTCTGAGAATGTACCAAGTCCACAATCTGCCTCTGGGAATTATGATAACTATTATGGTAGAAGACTTCGGACAAGGCGCGTCCAACTAAGTAATCCTGACAACAAAATCAAGTTGCGAAATGAGGTCAACCCACTTCTATACGTTATTTGGAGTCTACTAGAAAATTCGACCACTTTGTGCAGTTTTAGATCAAAATGTTGCCTGCAATCAGACATCTTGACCTCTAAAATTATATTCTACTTAAAGTAGCATATTTGTTTGACTGCAAATAAAATATTTCTGGTGCAAATATTGATCTATTTAGACATGGAGGTAGACCATTGATCGCTTTGTGTTTACTCACAGTGAAGGCTTGATTAAACCCTATTCGTCTTAATGCATTTTGCATGCTAAAGGAGCCTTTCTAATCCGCATGGATCACTGCGTACCCATGGCGTGCTTGGGCCGATTCACCTTTTTGGGCAGAAGCGGGTTTGCATTTCATTTCATTAGCGTCCATCCGATAGAAACACTGCGAGAAAGTTTTGGCCTGTTGAAAATCACGTTTGCAAAATCGAGAAAATGGCTAGGCTTTATTTCAGTTGAAAACTCCTGAATTCATGCAAACAACTGGCTCATACTCGGTCCTTTTGTGTATTCTTTTGAGTTGGACGCTCACACAAATTGTTCTCACTACGAAATTCAACTTGCACCTTTGAACATAGTAAAAGCTTACTTTTCTATTGCTTTAGCATCATTCATTCTCATGCATGGTCTTGATTTCGAATCCCAATGAGGATTTAACAAGAACTTAGTGCAAAAATGGGCGCTGTTAAAGGAAGAGTCTCAGAATTGGCGAAAGGGAAAACGATGTAACGGTTGAATAGGAAGTTTTTTTAATAGGAGTTGCTGATATTATCACTTTAACGAGTTATGCTTAGATGCTCAGAATGACGCTGCTGGCTGACTGGACGTCTGGGACTGCACCAAATCAGTGCTTTACTTCATCTTAACTCACACCTCTTTAAAGTCTTCTCGAAGGCATAGCCAAGTTGGGAACATTAAATTAAACTAAGTATATGCTTTGAAAGGCCATGTCATCTTGGCATCCATAACTACCATTTCAAATGTTTATATTGGCAGTAAAGCTAATTATTAATAAAAATTGAATGAATAGATATAGAAATTTTGGGATATTTTTCTCTGATTTATAAAATATTTTCTGAAAAATTGTATTTTTATCACTAGATTTAATCTTTTATCGAATCTGTTGAATCACAAAGGATGCTTCAAAAGAGATTATCTTTTCTTTCGTCTCTTCTTTGTTCAGTTGAAACGGGCGAGGCGTTTAGCGAGAAAGCTTGAACTAGTGGATCAGCTATTTCTTCTTTGGGACAATGAAGGTTCTGATCGAATCAAGTTGGAACAGCTTAAAAACTACTTACTCAAGTACAAGTCAGGAATTCTCAGGCCCCAGTTTAAAATTGGTATTTATCCAGTCATTATTTGCGTTTTATCATGCCTTGTAATATATTTACGTCCCGTGGGTCTCTCGGCAAGTCGTTAAGTTTTTCCGCCGAATATGCAAAATTCATTCTCAGATTCTTTTAAGGGTTTTCTAAGGCCTATACAAGGTCTAAACTTATATCCAGGCTGGATATTATAGCATTTTGGTGGGCAAGGCTAGATGGGATTCTCTGATAAAGCTAAGCGTCATTCTTGGATCATTGTGGGCAAAGCGTAACCATTATTCGTTTATAAGTAGATTTTCGAAACTGTTAGTAGATCATATTCCATTTAAGTTGATGAAGAACTTGGAGTTGAATTTTCCCTCATTAATATGAGTATACCTTACAGTTACATTGAATTTCATATAACCTCGCTTTCCAAAAGATATTCTCATTCTGGGTGGACCGCAGTTTCGACCTGGCCTAGGTCTCATAAACACCCTCAGCGGGACTCTAACTATGACAGTGCATTCGATTGCTATAGCAAATATAACTTTGCTTCATCGACAATCCCACCACAGAATGTGACATGGGAAGATTCCTGAATTTCCTTGACATTTGCATCTTCCCTGTGACCCAAGACGACTCGTTGCAATGTGACATGATGGTTAACATATCGAGCGTATTCACTGCACTATCATGGTTCGACTCATGGGGGTCGAACCTAGGCGAGGTCGAAACTGAAGTCAATTGCAGCTTTAATGAGAATACCTTTTTGGGGAAGCAAGGCTATGTGAAATTCAATAAAAACGTCAGGTATACTCATAGCATTGTGGGAGAATGCAATTATTAATCCGCTTATTACCTCAAACAAAATAGGGCAAATGCATCAAATATGTATAATTTACTGAAATTCTACAAAAACCTGTTTATAAAACGAAAAACACGCCAGGCCTAACCTGATAAATATTGTCGATCAAGCAAGCCTGCATTCGCCATTTCTATCGACGACGTTACTTATTTTTGATACAAGTAGATTTCGATACTATCAGTGTTCTGGATCAAATCTCATCGGGGGCGCTAATGAGGTCAGTTCAGACAATATTCGGTGAAATCGTATGATATTCTGTGGCCTATCCATCTGATTGTGTTTTGGAAAGCTCAACTATCAGTCATTAATTCACCTTGAGCGACCTTGGATTACTAAGTTGCTATTTAGGCTTTGCAGATAGCCTCGAAGGTCGCTGTATCGTGATTTCTTATTCTTCCGCCCAAAACTTTCTAGCCTTGCGCGAAGTCTCTGACCTGCATAGATCATCGTCCCATCTCTCCATCGCTGGACAGGCGTTGCAAACAGCCTCCGGTCAGTCGACAAACGCGCTTCCGCTGACCACAGTCCAACCACTTCCGAGCGGCCAACAACCTGCCAACCAAGTGGGCCGTCTTGCTCTCCACTTGATACTGACCAAGTTGGCCAGATACCTGGCGAACCAGACGACACGCCTTCGGCAGATGAGGCCGGCCAGCGGTGAAGATGAACTGGAAGAGGACGTATGCTTTGAGGAGTTGGTCGTCTACTTGACGGGCTGCCTCGAATGGACGCTGACGGATCGTCTTCGTGGTCAGGCACGGCGTCGGTGGCTCGAGAGCATCGGGAACATGGCGATCGCTTCGACCACCAGCCTTGAACCTCTGTATCGAGCAGTCTTTCAGGTGGCCATTTATTTTCAGTCTCCTTGTTAATAAAAGAGTGATGAAAGCAAAGATTATCTGCAATTTTTATATTCGTATTAGAGTAGGGTTTCGAGACTACCAGTTGTAATGAGATCTATTCACCCTCCGCTAGTTCTGATGGTTTGGTATGCATTTTCCTGCATAGCCTCTGATGTTCCTTGATTCATGTGCTAATTTTTCTTCCTGTTTCGCCAACATATTTCTGTTCGCAGCCGCCGCATGATATTCGGTAAACTCGTGAACAATCCAATTTGTCTACCCTTCCATGTTGCATTGGTAGACTTGTGAAAAGTGTTGATTTCTTTTTCGTGGTTACTTGAATATTCCATTTACTCAATATTGGACGTAGTTTTAGAGTTAGTTCTCAGGAAGGCAGGCATATCCACTTTTGTAATGAGATGTATTCATCCTATTTCGTGTAAGGTGATGAAGGACTGGTAGTAGAATTGTCCCACAATGATATGAGTTGAGCTGATGTTTCCATTCAATTTCACATAGCCCTGCTTTCCCAAAATGTATCCTCATCCAGGCTGGCAGTTTCGACTTCGTCTGAACTAGTCTAATCGGCACCCTCAACGGGACTCAGACCCGGGTAGTCTAGCGTGTTTATCAAGGGCACATCGAGACAACCCTTGCTCGAGTCCTGGTGGAATTGCTGATGAGACCGGTTGAGGCGAGCTCGAGACTGCAGTCCACATCAGTCGGAATGATAATGCCTGTTGGGAGGTAAGACGTGAAATTGCATGGAAAAATACTTATCATTGTAATGAGATGTATTCACCCAATTTCGTCTAAGGTGATGAAGGACTGGTAGAAAAAGAATTTTCCCACAATTTCCATTCAATTTAACTTAGTTTTGCTTTCCCAAAAGTTGTTCTCATCCCGGCTGGAGTGGACTGCAGTTTCGACCTTGCATTAGTCTTATCAACATCCTCAGCGGGAGTCGAACCGCTTCCATCTGTCACGGTTCGACTCCCGCTG